GACTTTCAGAAAATACAATAAGTATATACTTTCCAGCACATATAAAGCCTCCAGGAAAAATGTTAAACCAAAAAAAGGAAGGTATATTTGACATTAGATTATACCATTTGATTTATGAAAGCACACAAAAGAAGAGGTTTCCCCTGCCAATCATAAGTTTCTCCAGGATCTCCTTCCATGCATTCTAAAGGCAAAATTTCCATAGGATTGGACAATAAACTGATTCTTATTTCCAGCAGGAAGAAGAATCATGATTAACTGACCTATAGTACAAACTGAGAATAAATAGTCATATTTAGATGAGTGCAAGGCAACAGTGGAAGCAAATATATACAGACAGAAAGCCAACAGTTAGTCAGCACCTAAACCTGTAATCCATAGGGCATGCAAGAAAAGCCACCAGAATGACAAAGTAACTGAAAATTTTTTTGGTATCATCACAATTACCACTTAGGAGCCTAGGAACAACGTGCAATTCAATTCAGTTAAGTGTGCCATGTGAAGCACCTTTAATAAAAAGAGGCTTACTTGAGCTTAACTTGCTTCTTCCATTTTTTCCGGTCTTCAATGAGATGAGCCTTGAAATCAGGACTGAGATCACCACGTTCGATCATAACCTTCTTCACCTCAGGTGGAATGTACACTCCCCTCACAAGCAAGGACTCCAAGCAGCACATGTTTTCCTTCATTCTCACCTCATAGAACTTCTCATCCTCTTCATTCTGTGATGGAAAATAAAAAGTGCAGGTTTTAACAATAAAGCAAAATTGAGAAATGGCCAAGTGACTGGAATACGGCTAAATTAAAATGCAATTGATGACAGCACACTGAGGAATTTTGTAATCAATATTTCCATAGTAAAATGAACACATATCCCACCCAATAGTATCCAGACAATGCACTTACTTGGAAGACTTTGGGGAGATCATTCCTGCAGGTGACCCGGACTAAATCCCCTGAGGCGCACTTGACCAACATGGTCTTCTTGCGAGGGGACATATCTGCTGGGCTTCCCTTCCCTTTGTCCTTGTCCTTCTTTTCAGGTTCAACATTATCTTTTGCCCTCCCTTTCTTCTCAGCTTCCTTTTCCTTGCACAAGAGAGAAAGGAGTGCTGCTTCCCCTCCGATTCCCTATGGAGGGAAATGCAAATGGGACATTGGAAGAAAAATACATGACAGTCAGAATTCAACCAAAGACACATTTCAAGCTATAGCTTTACATGGGCTAACAAGTCAGTTTCCTTGATATTATGATGAAAAGCCAGTCAGGTGTGGAGACCAACTCTGCAAGCTATCCATAAATGAGAAAAAATTACAGGCAACTCAAATCAACAGATGCCATGATCCACATGTGGCAACAGCTTACATAAGGCACTGAGGACAATCAACATATGGGAGACAGGAGTGCTGGAACTCTCATTAGTCCCCATAAGAGGGATAACACAAAGAAAATGAAAATATGACAAAGAATAAAGCATGCCAACCTTCTCTTTAACACGTGGGATGGTGTCCTTCATCTTCCCTTTCTTTTCAGGTTCTGTGCAGTCCTTTTCCTTTGACTTGGCCTTCTCTGCTTCTGATATGTCTCTTGGTTGCTGCTTCTTTTCCCGTGGCATACGAACTCGACACTTCCGCAACTGTGTCACCACTCCCTCCTGTGTCTGTTCCAGACACTTTCCTGTAGTATCAGAAGTCAGGCTGATGATGAAGGGTGGGACTTTCATAGCTTCCCCTGGAATATCTGTGACTGTCTGGGGCTTCTCAACTTCTGAGACTTCCAAGCATGCTTGGTGACGTTTGGGCATCCCACTCACACTGGTTCCCTCATCTTTGCCCTTTTGTTCATCTTCACTCTGCCCAGGCTTTGACTTCAATGTAATTGTCTGCTCTGAAACTACAATTGGGTGCTCGGTCTCAGACATGCTCTCTGGGGAAACTTCTTCAAGGGTGATGACAGAAATGGATGGAATAATTTCACCCAACATCTGCTTCTCAGAACCTTTCTCAACATCCCTTGTTGGCTGTGTGACTTCAGCAGTTACATAGTTGGTTTCTGCCTTGACACTGTCTTCTAATTTTCCCTTCTTCTCTCCCTGACTCTCCTTCTCCTCAAACACTATTGCCACATTCTTAGCACCAACTTTCTCCAAATCTGGTTTTGATGCCAAATGTTTAAATACTGGCACTTGAGTAGCCCTAGTCTTGTCTTCAGCAACCTTAGCTTCCTTATGTAGGTCTGTCCCATCACGTGATGCTATCTTTGCAGTAGCATCTCTGGGTGAAATCTTCACTGAAGTATCAAATGAAGGTACAGGAAACTTTTTCTCTTGCTGTTGCCTCTTCAGTCTCTTGGGCAATGTAGCCTCTGAGTCACTGTGCTTATTGGATTCTGAAATGCCTCTCTTTCCCCTCTGTGTAAGTTTTGGTTCAGATGAATCCAAAGATTCCCTAACAGTTTGATGTCGAGCACTATGTCTCTCTTCACCCTGATCATAAGGGCTTGGCTCAGTCATTGGAACAGCTTCCAGTTTTTCATGGGAAGCTGCTGGCTTTCCTTCTGAGAGACTGGAGTCCATGCCATTGGAAATCTGTCCCAATTCAGCATTCTTGTCAACAACCTGTGGGGGGAGTGAAACAGAGGTGCCCTCAATCGGTCAGAGCCCTCCTACACATGAATTATTTAATGAAATCTTAAACATATTTCCAGAACCATTTAGGCATGCATGTGTTCATGTTTATCTTGACTTCTTGAGGAGTAAACAATAGTATTGGAAATCCATGGGATAACATGACAGTTATTCTCTTATAAATTAGCTCTACATCATCAATCATGATGGATTTCATGTTTTGCAAAATACTCAAACTAGGAAAATTGCCATTTTTTTTTTAGGATCTCCTTGGTATTCCTGCTCCTATTGGGGCTTATTCCCTCAAGAGATCTGCATGCTATCATCCTTTCATGCAGGGTCTGCCAAAAGTCACTGATGTTTAATTTGCTAAAAATGCTATTTAAGAAATTATTTATTCACATGTAAATTGAAAAAATATCTAGTACCTTGAAATTCCATTAACATTTAATTTCATTTCCCATTATAATTTTATTTTTTCAACACATGTTCAATGTGGGCTCTATAGAATAATGCACTTCCTCAAGCAGACTGCGAAGTTGGCTATAAAATTGCATTAGACATCTTGAGGGCTTTCACAAATAACTACTTCTATCCATTTTTTCAGTTAAGGGATATCCCTAGGCATGTCAGCAAACATGCAACCTTTCATGCAACCTCACAGAAAGAAATCTAACAAGGACAGATTGGGAGAAAGTGGGCCTAATTTTCTGCCTTGAATTAAATTATCCAATTTAGAATTTGAAAACTTCAACAAGATTAGTGCTTCATGCAAGTGCTCTGCAAAAGTTAAAAAGACAGCTATAACCCCTTTGAGTATGCTTCACAGACTTAGTCACTTAGAATAACTCACCATTTACTTCTTTTACTCTATTGTCAACATATTTGAGCTAGAATTTTTTAAATAGCCACAGAATAAACTCTGAATTATTAGTAACGATCATCTGAAAAAAAGCTATAACAGTTACAAAATCAACCTGGAAAGCATATTTGAAACATGTCATTTACTTTTGGCAGATCCTGCATTAAGTATATACCTTAGCTCATACAATTAAATAACTTACATATACAGGTAAATTACCTGAATATTACCAGCCCATATCTGGCTCAATTCATTATTCGCAGTTACTTACTCCAGAAAACTCTGAAATGGGCTTCAGTGAGACCTACCTGGTACATACAGGGTGTCCAAGAATGGTTATGTTGGTTTTAAAACAATATATCTCCTTAATGGGGAAACAGAAACATGCAGTTTGCACTAAAGTAAAAGTTAGGGGCAAATTTACTCCCACCCCAAATATATTCTTATTAGTTCCTTAGTTTCCCACAGTAAATCAGCTCCCACTGTGTGACACTCCAAAAGTAGTTAAAATGGCATCTATGAAGCAAAATACTGAATGCATTATATGGTTAGCACTATTTCAATCTGTTACTTGTGTCCAGCACATGCACTTGTGTCATGCAACCAATGGGGCACATATCAAGCTGTACCAAGGACAATGTGGAAGGCCAGAAAATTTGCAACTCTAACCTTTACTTTGGGGTAAACTGCATGTTTTGTTTCCTCATTGAGAAGACATTTCAATTTGAGACTAATGTAACCATCTTTGGGTGCCCTGTACATCAGGTGGCATTAAAAAAAGGGCTGTTTGATGCTGTGGATCACCTAGGTAACTGATTTTTTTTCTTATCACATGGGAAACACTACAAACCTAGTTTTCCTAACATTTTCATGAGAATAGATTGCCTGAAAAAAGGTGACAGTCATTCAAACCAGAGTCATAAAATGTACCTTTCCCATGCATTAAGTGGACTGAGTTGCAGTACTACTCATATAATTCCTCCACCTTGATGCTATAAAAGGTGCTATTTGCCAGATCCTTGTTGCAGCATTCTAGGTAGTACTGATTCTGATGCTACAACAAGGACATGAAACAGAATGCAAGCTTTATTGGTGACAAAGCAGAGAAATCATTTGAACAGTGCTGAAACTCCCTTCAGTGAGTCAGACAACCTTGACAATGAAAACTACAGGAAACAAATTTCATAGTGTTTCCAATGTGATACAAAAAAAGAACCTAGATGATTCCACAGCAGGAATTATAAAGTGTCAAACAGGATGCTTTTTTTGCACCACCCAGTATTGGTCTACCAGAAAGTTACAGAAGCATGTAGTCAAATCACTCATCAAGACAACCTGACCTCTAATACACAAAGTTCATCAATATTCCAAATTAAATTGTCGTGAAATGCAAAACTCTTCAAGTCAGTTTGTTTATTCTACCATGAAGAAAAAATAACTTTTGCATTGTCAGCATAGGTCAACATGTACTTTTCCAGGTACTGTAATGAGATATCATTCATGTATCATTCATGATCAGTAAAGACAGTAAGATGAAATGTAAAATTTATTAGGGCTGTTGATCAATTAAAAAATGTAATTGATCAATTGTGAGCCATTTAATAGCTTCATCAGTTGATTAATCAAATTTTAATGGATCCCTCAGATTCTCCTTGAATCATGTCCTAGATGTAGGGCATGATTCTCGTGTCATGTCCAACATCTAAGTGAACCTTAGGAAGTAACTCAAGGTGATGCAATTACTATCCATACACACTAGTTCAACCTACATGAGACACATTTCAATAGGAGTATCATGACAACTTAGGCAGTTAAATAATGGAACGTAAGGAAAGAAAGACACTAATGCCTTCTGCCATTTAGTCAATCCATCCCAGAAGGATGGAAAAATGTAACCTAAATGTTCAGAGGTATACAGTGACATTTCATTTTGTGGAGATTTAGAGACTCATTATCTATTCACAGGTAACACAGGATGGAAGATCAGAAAAAACAAATAATGGTGCATTTTACACTTTCATTTTCTATTTTCTCACCTTGCTGCTAGGATTCTGCCTCTCCCTGTTACTTTCGGGGGCTCCCAAAGACCTTCAATGGCACTCTTACACATATGCCTCCCACTCCCCTGCCTTTACATTATTCTCCTTCCTGCCTCTCATGTCCCATGTTCCTGCCTAAATCCCGTTCCTTCAGTGCATTCCTTTGCAGCATCTTCAATACAATTTCCTTCTCCCCATTCACATCCAGCAACTTTTTGGTAGCTTTGCCCTTGGCTCCTGCTACTTTAACCTAATGCATGAGGCCTTTCTAGGCCATAGGCTAGGTGCAAGGACAGACATGTGTTGCATACCAATAAGCTTGTGTATGCAAATGGGTCAGGAAACTTCTTTTGGAATAACCTGAAAGCAATGGGTTTGGTTTACCAAAGTCATTTACGAGGAAGAATGAGCAGTGCGAACATGACTACCTTCAAAATAAGCCTTCATTACTTTTCATTCCCTTAATAAAGCATTCATTTTTGGTTGTTTTTCAAAAGCATGAACTACACAATCAAATTTTAAGGGGAAAAAAAAGGAATTCAGGGGGAGATTGGGGTTTTGATTAAAATTATATACATTTTGGCTAATTTTTTAAAGCGAGATTAATACTTAAATAAATTCATAGGCAAATTAATCTTGTCAAATTGACAGCCGTAAAATCTATTAATTCTTAATGATGGAAGGACAGGAACTCTCTGTGTTTCTTTTAAAATTCTTTCAGTCAGGATGTGTATATGATTCCTTTTATTGAAATAGGATTGCTTTTTGGAGCAATGGCCCTTGTTCAGGCACAAGTTCTTTTGCTTGAAAAAAAAAAGAAGCAGAACTAACAGGGGAAGGAGGAACAGGTCGACCTCTGAGACCTCTTCGTGTGGCACCAGGAGCAGGTGTAGATGTAGCATTGGGTTCTCCCTACAAAAGAACATGGTCCCAGGGTACCCACATCAAGTACTTTCCTTTGGACAATCAATTTTGCACTTTTGATAGTCACAATCTTTCTTATATGATGCACTTGCAATGGATACAGATATGTTGTGGATTTCATGGTAATTAATCAAATGCTGATTGACTCCTCCATTAAAAAAATAACTAGTTATGTTCATAGACTACACAAACATTCTACAGCCACTTCACAATGATGAGCTGACTCAGACTCTAATGAATTTCAAAAGGAATCTAATGGAAAGGAGTCAGTCAGTAACTGGAAGCTGAAAATGAATCCAAGACATACACGAAGAGCCAGTCCTTCCTCTTGCTCATCAATGAACTTTCTTGGTTTGATGACCCGTCCACTGCGACTCACTCTCTCCTCGGGTGGTGTAGAAGAATTGGATAATGTGCTCTCTCCATGGACAATAGGGGCTGGAGTTAAAACATCCTTCTCTTTCCTTGGCTTCTTTGTTGCAGGTGCCTGGAAAACAGAAGTTCTGCAGGCACCTACTTCTTCCTATTCTACATAAATAGCTACTTCAAAGTAATCGTTATTGCATCATGGGAAACAAAATGTCACGGAAGATGGAAATTCATATTCATATATTCATAAGTGGCAAGAACAGCATATTGAGACCAGATTTAAGGGAAACTTCACTTCGTCTATAAAAGTTAAATGAAAATTATTAGGGTTAAAATAAATTGTATCTACATTTTGTTTGGTTTATATTTTATTGAAGCCTAAATTACTGAGAATATCTTTCATATTAAAAGTTGCAACTGTACTTTTCAAGTGACCAAGTCCAGACCAACAGAGATATAACTTACATCAGCAACTGGAGATTCAACACCACCCTCCCCTTTCAATTTGGATAGTTTGGCCCTGATCTTTTCAGTGGCTTCTCTTGAGAGAACACCTTGTTCCACCTGAAACAGGATGGCAAGATTCCTGGGATTAACATTTTGAACCAAGAACCAATTCAAACATGGTTTAATGAAACCATTCCAAATCTGGCAAGGGAACTTAATCCAACCCGTAGATCCCAACATGATTATCACCAGTAGAAGTGATAGGCTTCCCCAGAAAAGTTTTATACAATAAAATGACTAGATTAAAATGTGATTTTTAAGGACTTACAGAAAAAATACTTTTGAAAAATACAAGCTTATTCATTAATCTAGGCTAGATTGATATGCAAGTGAATCCCATCCTTCTCCTTCTTTGGTATATCAAAGTTGGTTTTCAACCCCTTCCACATTTAACCCAAACACAGTTTTGGCAAAACTCAGAGGGGTTAAATGTTTATCCCTGTTGTACATATCTATGGATATGCATAAATAAAACTTAGATATTGCAAAGTTATGTTACAAGTTAATGTATTCTGTTACTGAAATTTTCATAGTGATGAATCTCAAATACCAAAAACAACATTCTTTTCACAGAATTAAAAAAAAAATAACAGACACAAGAGGGGTTAAAATTTGGACTTTAAGGGTGTTTCAAAAGAAAAGCTCTATTCATTGTTGAGGGGGATAGATGAAATTGTTTCCATGTGAGGAAAAAAGTTAGACCAGGCTTCATATTCTGCGTGCTGCCTCCTTTCCTAACAGGAAAACATATGGGAAATAAAGCAGAAGGTAAAATCTAAGCCACAAGTTGATATAAGCAGTGAGTCGTCATTAAAATGTGCGATATACCTTTTGATTTCAGATTCACCTTCAAATAATAAGGATTGGTTTGATCCATATGTGAATGACACAAAATACACATGAGCATCTGACGTGAGGATACAAAGATTCTAATATTTTATTTTGACATTTTTCCTGCTTTTTATACTTCCTTTTGAATGCTAGACAAAACATACATTAAACATCATGAGGCCAGGATTGCATCTGAACTACTGGAACACTGCACATGTCCCATCTTCTCCTCACCAGTAGACCTGCTCAGCCTAGTGTTTCTCAAGAAACACTGATTTCAAGGACATGAAGCTTCATCGTTACCTTATTTTCTAGTCACTGCCAAAGAGTTCTAAGAATAAATAATAAAAGATTTTGCTCTGAAATTTGAAGGGTTCCATTAAGTTATAAATCAGAAAAACTCAATTAGAGTTGAGTAAGTATTCCAATGACTGATCCTGATTTAGGATTTGGATTGGAACGTAATTGATTAACTATTGAATTTGTAATTTTCAAGGAAGAGAGATTTATTAAATTAGAATCTCATAAAAGTCAGATTCTGATATTTCAGGGAGAAGTAAAACCTTAAAACTTATGAAAATTCTAACAGAGAGCCAAGATGATCCCCCTCTTGTTGCTGAATTCCCTATGATAAACTTTGAAAGACCTGGGTCCCATGTTGAATCAAGGTATGAATATATTTAATTCAACCAGTAGATCTTCACAAAATTCTATTGCAGAAAGAGGTACCAAGAAAATAAACTGAAATGTTGAGAAAAACAGTCCATAAAGACATGACAGTCAGAAGTGCGGTCAGACGTCATTAAAGAGACTCAATACCATCAATAAGATCAATATTGGCTATTTTTTATACGAAGAGAAAGGGTAAAAGATGATAAAAGTAGCATATTCAAACCATGAAGAAACCCCACTAGAAGCACCAACATAAGATGTAATATCCCCAAGGAAACAGATGATCATTTTTCCACAGAAAACTGATGGGAAGGCCTTTTTTTTTATTCAGAGACTGTGTAATCTCTTTCCTTAGCACATTAGACTGCTTATCATTTCCAGCTAGTGATGAGCAATTTAACCAGGACTTCAGCTTGTCCTGACATAATTTGGAAGCCTGGAGAATAAATGTACATCTTCCAGGGTGACCCAAATAAACCATACCAAACTTTGAAAACGACCTCCTCCCAAAAACGAGCCCAGTATGGTTTTTTTTTGGTCACCCTGTATTTACAGGGTAATTTATTTCGATTCCCAAGGGCATAGACTTTTCAAATTTCTTCAGGGCAAGTGTTTCTTGAATCTGGTCTGGAAAAACCATGATATGGAGATGAATCCAGGAACTCACAAGTTCATCAATTGAGATATTGGGGCATTGCTCAATTTCCTCCATCCCCTCACTAAAGAATTTCCTCTTCTGCTCTTTTCCAAGCTCATCTTTCTTCAGTTCATATGGGACTATGTCACTTGGCTTAACAATGGCCCTGAAGAAAAGAAAAAAATACCTATATGAGTGATGCTTATCTCCAGAAGCATAGTCACAAGTAGCCCACCCTTCCAGTTATACCCTGACCTATTGGAATAGTAATAGATGGGAACTAGATGATATTCATGGTATTATTCACAATTTATGGTTTCCTCTGATTATTTGGATTTGATATGTGACTTGCATACTCTAGAGTGAAGATCTGATTTGTTTTCTAACCTCATTGAATCTCTGTGATTCAAAGTCTGATTTTTAAATTATATTTCATGAATTAAATTTTATTAATGACTTTTCAGTGTTTGCAACATTGCAACACAGGGATGATGCTGATATTTGACTACACCATGCAGTTGATTTTATATCTTTTGTAGCTGTTTTTCTTGATAAAATAGTGAAGACTTTTGATATTTAGTGTTGACAGCTTAGATTAACAAATAAGATTGAACTAAGCAAAGCTGCTAATATATATTTAAAGCAAAAATTCATGAGCAAGATTAATATGAAAACCCTCAAATCTTACTTAAGATTCAAGTTGAGATTTAGTCAATAAATGAAAAAACATTTCTAAATCTAAATCTCATCTTAAAAAAATTGCAACTTGCACATGATTGGCACATTCTGTCGCATAAGATGGACAGTACAATCTCAATCATCTGTCAATGAGAAATATCACAAATGTTGGGATGAATCGCACAGAGGTCCTAGGTAGGATCGGAGCTCTGTCGGCTTCATCTCTACTTATGTTCTGGCCAAGAAATATTCCAGGTTCTTCCTGAAAAACTCCTCTCCACCTCCATGTTCTTCAATGGATATGGATGGACAATTGGCCTTGAAGAATCTTAAGCACAGCTACTTTAATTTAGGTTTTCATTTATAAATTTAAGAATACCACTGGCATTGTAGCATCAAAGAAGCATCCCTTACACTGATCAACAAAAAAAATTTTTTATGTTCATGGCCCATTTAATAATTGGTAGCACAAACAGTAAAACCTGTTCCATTAATTTCCCAAGGGTATTGACAACATAACTCCATAAAAGATTTTATGCACAACTTCTGGACCTAAACCAAGAAAAAGTGCTTTCAAAGAATGGTGCATGTACAAAAAACAAAAACATTTCTGAGACCTGTGTAAATTTCCACGCTTTAGGAGGAATCATTAGATGTGGGACTGCAATGACTAGACAATAATAAAGGGAGTTTAATATTGATAACTAGCTGCATGATTCTGCTCAGAGAGGTGCTGTTCCAAGTCTCACAACGAAACCTGCTAATATTGATGGATCTCCACAAAATGTGAATACCTGAGTAATTTTTCACATCCTTCACACTAGACACTTTTAGCACTTCATCTCCTGAAGAAAATGTACCACACACAACCATATTTTAAGTCTGAGACATGGAGCTACAACTTTGCAGTTTAAAAAATCAGCTCTTTCTTCATGAAAGGTTTGCAATGTAACAAAAAAAAAACAAGAAAAATTTATATATTTGAAACTCTAATCAAGCCATTACCTATTGAATCAAATTCATAAGGTCTAACCCCAGAAATAGGTCCAAATAAACATGACTATAAAAAATCATTTTTACTTTTCACTTTGAGAGGTTATCATGAAGATAAAAGATTCCAAACATTGACTGTCACAAGGTCTATAACAACGTGCATCATGAAGTGAATACAGCTTACTGTTCATAGGTTCCATAGAAGAAGACAAGGTAGTGCTTCTTCTTTGGTCCTTGGTCCACAACTTCATCAACCTGCATAAAGAGAAAAAAAGCTTTACAATACGGTCAGCCTGAAATATAAAATAAATTTTAATTGCATGTAAGGTGCTCCTCCATAAGCACAAGAGAACAACATATTGTGAAGTTGGGTGCCTTTGTACTTCATTAGAGGGATGAAAGAAAGATATTCTTGATGCCTTTCATCACCTACTCAAGTTACAGAAACTACATTTTCTCACAAGGGCAAAGGATGGTCCTGATTTGACATCAATGGAAGCTTTGCTGAGATTACAGTTGAGCAGGCCACTAACCAAAGGCTTCAGTTCATAACTTCCTCAGATGCAAAAAAAAAAAAATCTACAGGACTTACCACATGCAAATGGTACCCAGGTCTTAGGAAGTTAGGACATAGGCCTGCACAGAGCTGAAAGAACTACCATATTCCTCATGACATACCTTTCCAAGAGAAACCTCCCTGTTCCCTTCTTGTTCCTTGATTGCTCCATCATTCCAATCCATAACAGAACATTGAACATAATTACACTACTCAAGGTTTTCCAATGACAAGCAATTTTACATCATGTTATGGAATAAGGGCAGATCCAGGGGGGAAAAATGAGATAATGGTTTTCCTTATAGGGAGATCAGGATGAAACATGTTAAAATGCCAGGTTCATGGTATATTAACTTATTTCAAACAGTGGACAGTGACATTTTACCAAAGGATTTTATATGGTCCTACTGCTCATTGCCAGGTGCTGAAAGAAAGTGCTATGCCAAGCTCTACACTTGCTGAAATCCATTTAACTGAAAATCTCATCTCATGGAAAATAAGGGAATATCAAAATATACTCATACGCTTAGTGCTGAGTCATGTAAAGCATAAATAATGGGTAGGTCCTAGCCTATACATGAAGATGTTTAGTCAAAGAGCATGCCTAGCATGTGAAGTTCTCAATCAGCCCAGAAGCAAAAGAAAGAATAGGGCTAGTCACTGAAGAGGATTGACATCATATCATTAGAGGTGAATGGCAAGGGGGCAAAATGACCTAAGAGTGACCTCCCAGGTCTTCAAAGGGTGGGAGATACCACTGAGAAATCTAATACTCAGTGGCAGCAGCTATAAGCATCAAACACTGATCTCATTGAAAGGATGAGGTTGCATGAGCACCTTTGCAGGAGGAAATGAAAAGCAAATCCCAAGACTCAAGACAGCCTTGAATTCCAAGCAATGATCTGATCTACTTGTGCATCATTTTCCCTATTTCTAAACTTTATGAGTGGGGTTGCTTCTATGTATAATCTCATTTTCAATTCTGATTTCTTCTCACTGTCTTTCTTTTTTAGTTTTATTGAATAAATCTTCCAATTACTTTTTTTTTGTTTTACCTACATCCAACTTTGCATTTCCCTTCTCATTTATTTTTTCACCAGAGAAGCAAAAGCCTCGAGTTTTTAAACATGGGAGCCTGTAAATGAACTAAATAGTTAAAAGAAAAAGCTGTGTTTTCTCCAATTTGAAACAAACACCAGATCTTCACATCAAAGCATTGTTTCAGTGCCTTCAGATAAATCTTCAACCATGTCATTGTGATGAAACAAATGAGATTTTGCAGAAGTTCAAGTCCCTTGTGGATGGTCTCATGCTGAATTGGGTGAATTCTGTCCTGTTAATGTCATCCTAATAGTCAAAACAAGATTTTCTGATGTGGGATGTCAAGAAGATGCTCTAACAAAGCAGAGTACAGCCTTTAAGGAACAAGGATGAGACATACCAATCCTACTGGTTGATCCAATATACCACGTGCCTAACATGATCTTTCAGGACTGTTTCCAATTATAAGGATTTTAACACTTTAAAAATTACAATCTGGTGTGCTACTTGCAGTGCAAGACCTTCTCATCGAACATAAGGAAACACTTTAGGGATAAGAGTTTAGTGAGAAATTTTTAAAACTAAAAAGACAGCTTTGGAGAAGATTTTTCCTAGTCTATGCCATTATCAAATTTAAGTTAGGCCTGTTCATCCCAGACATAAACTTAAGTTCCTATACCATAGTTATGGAATACATGGGTATAGTGAATCTGTAAATCTTAGGCCTAGGTCACACTTAAGTCCTTGAGGCCCTTTATAACCCTAATATACCAATATAAACTCGGCCTGGAGGTCCCTATGAGAGATGCTAATGTAAATGGATAACATGCATGCACACTCACCCTGGCAGGCCAAAAGGGATAACCCTTGACCTTGGCAAAAACCCTACTGCCAACTTGAATCGAATTCTCGTTGGATTTCATGTTCGCCCAGACTTGAGAAGGAGGGAGGAATTAGACCGTCCACACCTGAGGCGTGCAGGTAGAGACTGACTGCCTTCTGCTCTCCCTCTCCCTCCCCTGTCAGCCTCTGGTGGAAGATGAGACCCCAGACGCGGAAGGCAGTTCCCGCTCGGACCCTGCCCTTATTTTTCCGCCGTCCTTTCCCGCGTATTTTTCACGGTATTTTCCACATTCACCGACCTTCGAGACAAGCCAAGATGGGTCGTTGTGGCCCATGCAATAATATGCCAAGAATGAATAGGCCTATGGAATGCCACTCTGCACATCAAGTGGTACATAGGGGAAGTCTGGATTGAGCTTGATACAAAATGCCATGAGGTTTCACAGCACTTTGTCATGAAAGATAGAAATGTGCTCTTCAATTAGTACTTCAAGAGAAAATATTTTTTTTTGAGATATTTTAATAAATTAAGAAAAAATTATGCAAAAGTACTGGCAACTGACTGGATAAAGATGTAAACATTCTGTCAACATCAACTTTCAATATTACAAAAGGTTAACTCATGCAATCCTAAACCCTTTCCTTGCCTGCAATACCCTATTAAACAATCGAAATCAGTGGAAGAAGTACAAACAAAATGGAACTTTAGAGAAGAGAGAAAGAAGCTGAACTAGAGAAAAGTATCTGGATGAAATGTAGCTTCATCTCATAAAATGCAGAATTTTGCAGCCAATATCCCAGTACATGTTAACATGATACACATTGATCTGTTTCACTTACTTTCAGTTGTTTATTCCTGCTTCCTAGCTAACCACTGAGTAAACTGAGTAACCAGATATGAAAACAACTAAAAAATTTGGGGGTTGGATCATCCTGCACTCAGCCTTCTGATGAGAGGAAGGGATTTTGTCTCCTCTGAGATGAGATGGAACAGGGAATCAGATGCAAAGCAGGCTAGTCTCCAGCCTGCTACTGATGCCACCTGAGCCTCCTTAGATGTGTAGACTTTCATTCTGACTTTGCATGAATAAAGGCCTTTCCTTTAAGATTTTTTAAAAATTAAGTTCTTGTTGGCCTTATTCAGTCTCTGAGATTACATGCCAAACTGCAATGCAAGCGTCTTAATGGTTCCTGAGAATATCTGGAAAAGCAAAGTATATGAAAAAGCCAGCTTTACTGATTACTTTTGGTTGATCAAATTATGTATTTTTCAACTAAATACTAGTCCTCTATGTTGGTTGTTCAAGACCTACCTCTAGGCAAACCATCATCACTCCACTCTTTATAGTATTAGAAATTTTTTGGAAGTTATATTCATGCATACATCCATCAAACCTCCAAAAGGGGACAATCAAGCATACCCCCATGTTGCATATGCTTAGATGCAATATAGATTTTATTAGATTAGGTCATCTGCTTAGATGCAACAAAGAGCTTCATCTTGATTGATATTCATGTATTCATTTCCCTTTCCGATTGAAGCCTTCAATTGCAAAGGCAAAAGAATGTTGCCTGCATGCCAGCAACTATCCTCTCCAGCTGGGTTTTAAGGAGCTCAGAGGAGTTCTGCATTCTGTTACATTTTTCCCTCTTGCAGGCAAAAAACACAACAAGTTCCAGTCATATCCTTTTTCTCACACCCTTTATAGAAGGACTTATATGTTTTCCATCAATGGCTCACGATGACATTTGTCCATACTTTCATGGAATCTTGCACATTGGTACTTACTTGTTTATGAAATAGTAAAACAAAAAAACAAAATCTGGAAAGATGTTTGGCAAAATTTCAAAATACCTGGAAACTCCACCTAATAAAACAACCTGTGACAGAAGAAACATAACCTCACAAGAATGTAATTAAGAGGCTGAGGGATGACCTGAGCATATGCAATCAATTTGCAGCTAATTCAGCAGGCTGACAAGTTCCCAGCAAGCTGATGCAGAACAAAGCAACTGAAATAATCTCCAAAGAAAAAACTGTTACCTTGACATCATCACTGATCCTAACTGTAAGAAATTCCATCAATTAGAAATAAAGCAGCTTCTCAAAATATATTACAGCTCCCAGAATCTAAGTTGAGATTGAGACTATGTTCTTGTAGAAAAACTGACACTGTAAGACTTCCTCATGTCTAAGACTATTTGCAGCATAGTTTAATAAAAGGGACCAGACTCAATGAGATGGTAATATTTTCTTAAGAATAGGTGCCTGCCTTGCACACTGAATAAGTCCAGTCTTAGACTAATCATCATTAGGTGAATGAAAACTTGTAACAACTTTTGAGTATTTTCTGTCAAATGGTTGGACTGATGTCATATACAGAGTGGATTTTAGAGGTTTCAAGTTGGAGCAACAGGCCTTGGTAAGTTTCAACCATACCAATGATGACTAGACCAGATTGTACTGGTCTGAACTGATTTGATAAGGAAGTACACTAATGAATGGCCTGTGCTTCCCTTAATCAGAAAGAAGAACTTCAGACCAGAACTCAGTTCAATTAAGTGTAACAGTGAACACATACAGGAAGTTCGTATACAGCAGTTACTTGTGCCATATATATATATATATATATATATATATATATATATATTTATCTTTTCCCCATATACTGATCTATAATGACACATATATGAAAGTATATATGGGTAAACATGATCCACATGAGGCCTATTGATGCATTATGCATATATGGGTAACTTGTTCCTTATACAAGAATCATCAGGATTGAGGGATATGTCATATCAGGTATGATTATGCCCCTTTATTGAAGTATATGATTTTCATACATGAGTATATAAGTAAAATTGCCAAATATGTCTAATTTTTTTGTCAAATATAGGCTTTTTCTTGTTAACCCATTAAGTCCATGTTCTATTGCAACTACTGTACCAGCAAAATTTCCAGAGGCCATGGTTTCTGACAATGTCTTGGTTCTCAATTAAAAGATGGCAGAGCTGTCAAGATAAAGGAAGAGGAAATGCATGTAAGATGAGCTGATGATCCCTAAATGAATATCTAATAGGTGCCCGCATGAAAAAATCGGCAATTATTGCTTTTATTATTTTATTATTTCTCCCTGATTAATAGTGCAACTTGCACAACTTCATGAATCTGGATTTCAGGTTGACAGAACAATTTTTTTTACAATTTATAACTGAAATGAACTTTTTACTTTTTCATTCTTGCATGTTTTCATTTCAGTAGAAAAGAGAGGTGGATTTTATATTTACAATGTCATTG